GTGTTAAAACAAGTCTGGCTACATTTGCCTGGTATTTCACACTCATCCTCATCTGTGGTGAAAAATGGGAAACAGTCATGCTTTTATCACTTTTTTCATTCAAATCTTTGATCAATTCTTAATACTCCTAGTCATCAACTGGCATTTTAACCTGTTCAGTGAAACTGTAAAATTATAAACAACAATTGAACATGCTACACATCCCAATAGTTATTCATGAGAGTACAAGTTATTAATATTTAAAAGGTTCTAATTCCTTTTCCAGATCACACATTAATCAACAATTACCAATTTTTAAGAAGATAAACCAACATTTAAGCTCAGACCTGCAAATCCTCAAATCTGTATGAAAGGGGATGACTACCACGAAAATAATGTTAAAAGTTATCTACCCATGCAGGTTTTAGTTCCATTGAGTACCTGTCCTGAGGGACAGAAACACTCAGCACCAAATGGCGTCTGCCTACACATGTTACTGCAACCACCATTAGAATCATAGCACGTGTTTGTGTCTGGAAAAAATAGAAGTTTGTTATCAATAGAGGTATATGCCACTATCCATGATGAGTCAATTTGAAGGGGATTATGCCTACAGGTGCCATTCTGCAAGTTTCTTCAGCCTGGACCGCTTGAATTTTTGCCTCATATCTATTGTAAACCCCATATTCAAACGGCTTTAAGTGGAACTCCGGAAAGTGATAAATTTTTATTGCACTAACATTAAGTGTGTATTATTTTTGAAAGCACCAAATTCATCAGGTAAAAGCTAAGAAACAAATTAAATTTCAAGCAATGCTTTTATGTTTACCTGATTTGTAGCTATACTGCAATTAATACTTTATGTTTCAAACTTTTGGTTTTTGCTAAAACTCATCCATGTTTTGGTCACTAAGACATATACACAAACACACTAACATTCAATTCAGCAAAATCAGGAGATATTTTCTTCCAAATCCCCCATTTTTGACCATCTTCTGACAAAAAAGAAATTGATGACCCTCAATGTAAACTTAAACAAGGCAGCAAAGCTGTCAAATGTACAGACANTGTGTGTGTGAGAGAGAGAGAGAGAGAGAGAGGGATAGAGAGAGAGAGAGACAGTGTGTGTGTGTGTGTGTGTGAGAGAGAGAGAGAGGGATAGAGAGAGAGAGACATGATCACATACCTGCCCATCTTCCGAGGACACTTTATAGACAAAATTTCTGTACACTCTCTGCGGATTTCCTGACCGGTTGGCCTTGAACTCGGCGAGGTGCGCCCCGGGTTCGACCGCTGAGTCCCCGTCTGTGAGGGTGGGGTGCGCAAAACACGAGGTGGGCAGCAGGATGAACAGTTTGGGGGAGATGCGTTGGTTCCTAGCGTCCCAAAAAGTTGACGTCTTTACTCTGTCAGCTAGACCTGAGGACGGGTGAAAGAATATTTTTATTATTTTTTTAAAGAAATCTGATATCCAGTTACTAATTAAAAAATCAATTTTGTTCAAATTGACTTCTTGGAACTGTCCACATCTTACCTGTAAAGGGGTAATAATTCAAATATTTGTGTCGTTAACTGTATCTAGTCCTGAATAGTATCTATTTATTTCGACGATTTGTACTTCAATCATAATATTTCTCTGTTAATTCATAACAGCGACTGGGATTCTTTTTGCTATATTAACCTTACTAGTTAGATAGCCGTAGTAATAAGACCACTTACCGGGTAAAATCAGTTTCAGATAGCCGTAGTAATAAGACCACTTACCGGGTAAAATCAGTTTCAGATAGCCGTAGTAATAAGACCAGGCCAGGCCGTAGCCCATACTGTTCTTTATCTCGGAGGCTGCTGCGGTCATCGTGAACTGAAATTAATAGATATCGTGAGTTATTCTAAATCATTCAAATATGAGGACAAAAACAAATAAACCATCGAAATAAATTAATTTAAACATTGAAAAAAGGGCAGCTTAGCGCTGACACATTTCACGAGAAATAATAATAATAATAATGATAATAATAATAATAATAAAATATGATTGACGGCTTATAAAAAATCGGAATTGAAAAGGGGTGACTTTAACAAAACAGGATAAACTATCAAGTTAAAAGATTTGTTCGAACAATACCCTCACCTTAGGCTATATATTACATGTTATGTTGCTCCTTAGATGTATACAGTGTAGGGACATGAAAGTCAATCTCTTTATCCAGATCAAAATGAATGTAAAATATCAAGCCCCTATTACAACTGTCATTTTTTGGAAGGCACTGTACCTGAATACATGTTCTTACCTTATTAAATAGAGCTGCCTGTATTATTGTTGTTCTCTTCGTCCGGATTTATCTGTACGGATTTATCTGTTTTGTCCATTTTATACGGTTACCAATCGCCAAATTAGTTTTCCAGATTTGAATCATGGCCTAGTTTTAGCAGAAGGGAATTCCCCTCTGCATGACGCTGATTACATAAAAAGACAGGCATAGACATGGCAGTGGTATTATTGAAGGCATTTGGGTGCAAACTTTTTACGGAAGGGGTGTGCAAGTGAAATTTCCACAGGGACATTAAATATTCCCGTAAACCACAATTTCAAAAGAGATTCAGTAACTTTTTACTTAAAATTCCTCTTGGGAAATTTGTTATTGTGCTAAGTATCGTGATTTCGATAAGATTAATTCTATTTTACGAAAAGGCCGTAATTTAAGTAATTGAAAGTGATAAATCCGTTTGGGAAACTTTGTTCTGTTTAAAAATATATTTAGAGAGCAAACGTTATTTTGGTACAGAAATTTCAGGATTTTCATTTGAGGTATTTTTATTCTCTTTGATATATGGGTAAAGCAAGTATAAATGGACGTTGTAGAAATATTTTTTAAAAAGTTTTATTATTCAAATGGTTTTTGCTGTAATGGAATCTCACTTTTTATTTGAAAAAAAAAAAAAATCCTGTTCGATATATGTTTACATATGAAGAGTAAATGAAGCAGTTATAAATGGATGTTTAAGAAGTTATAGAAAAACTTAATTAAAAAAACTTTTTCTATTAGCTATTTAAACAAGGTGAATATATCCGTATAATAATGGTAAATCTTGTAAGATAGTATTATACTGGCTTTAGACTAATGGACACGCATGCCTACTTTTCACTTGATCATGTCGCCTAGATTACACTTTATCAATATTGCTGGCCAGTGACGAGGCTCAGGACAGAGCGTGGTAATATATCATAAGTGACGAGGCTCAGGACAGGGAGTGATAAGATATCAGGGCGGAGGACAGGAGTGTCAGCACCTGCTGAAATATAGGTTATCAGGGCCCCGTACCGCGTAAGCTTCGCTATTTTGCGAGCGGGCACGAGGATGGCTACTTCGCTATTTGCGAGTGCGATTGCACCCACCTGTTATCTTGAAGCCTTAGCAAGCGCAACGCAATTATAACCTCAAACTCTACTAAAATTCGATTGCCGCATAAAGTGAAGACGTCATTATACAATTACACAAAATGTATTTTTTTCACCATGACGCTAATCAAGAAGTTGTATTTATTTATAGGAATATCATAATTACAAATACTGATATTTGAAGTGTTTGATACCAATAAAATGTCAAAAAACAAGCGAAGCTTGGACTGACACAATTACTGACACATTGGTGGGAAGTGTTCAGTCTCACAATAATAGACATTGAGGAAGGTCACGGTGCGACCGAATGCTTTGTTTCTGCTTTTTCATTTTGTGTATGATTATTACCAACAGGCAACACAGATGAATTATATTCATCAGAAAATATAAAACAAGGCAGCAAAGCTGTCAAATGTACAGACAAAGAACAGAAAATTAAGATGCAAATAAGTGAAAAATTAAATTTTCACAAAAAACTGTTAAATTGCCAGAAAAATTTACCAAACAGACTGCGTTGCCTATTGAAGCTGTATTTTAGTGCCATGTTTCTTTCCTATAAGTTTGAGAACAGTAAGTGACATGATTTCCCTTAAATGGTCATCATAGGAGCAGTGCCCAAAATAGGGGTTTCTTCAGATTTTGATACAACATTAAATAATGTTTAACAGCATAATGACAATCAAATGTTATTAATAAAATATAANGACGGCGACGACGGCGACGACGGCGACGACAGACGCAGATGATGGCTATATGTACAGACACATCTGTGTCTGTACATAAAAAGATGGACTGTATTCCGAAAGCCCCAGAAGCTGGCCTCCGTCCACCCCTGAAAATGACCACTGGAGATGTTATCCACTTACTGCACACAGGGCTCTCATCATGACCTCTTGGACAATCAGGCTGACCATCACAGACCTGAGAGATGTTAACACAGACCCTCAGGCCGTCTGGACACAACCACTGGCCAGGTGGACACTGGAAGGGTTTGGGAGCTGCAAAGTAGTCAAATAGTTGAATGACAAAATTGTATATGATAAATATAGCGATACTTTGGATTTCTCATCATTTTGGGTAATTCGGATCAAAAACAATCATTTAAAAGACAAATGCAACACAATGTCATGTCAATTTACAAGTCAAAAATTATGTGCAATTTACAGAATATTAATATTCATTCAGAATGTAATTAATTAAGAAGTTAGCAAATTTGCGTCTATCAATTGTAAGATCAATTTCAGTATTCACTTTTTTAAACATTTTTATTCTCAAAAATATTTCAGTACAAAGTATAGGATGTAATAAAAAGGTGGCAAATCACCAATATTCACTCAATAATGATTTATTACACTTACGGCAGTTATGCCTGATGTCCTCATCTGATCCATCTCCACAGTCGTTGTCGCTGTCACAAATCCAGCTCCTGTAAATACAACGTCCATTGTCACAACGGAATTTATCTGCAGGGCAGGTGGCTATACTTGAGTCTAGAAACAGACAAAACATAGGTCATTTATAAAAAAAAATACAAAAATATTTTACAATTTGCAGAGTCAAGATATACAAAAGTTGCATCAGTTTAGTTTCAATGAAGCCTATTTGCAACAATTTTATCTTTTGGGACTAGCTGATTTTTATTATTTTTGTAAATTTGAAAAACTTTCCTAAATATTTTTATATCATTAATCATTACATCCCCATTAGTTCTACTTGCCATCATATTATCCCAGTTGGACATGTTTAAGAGACAAATAGAGAATAATTTCGAAAAGCACTAAGGTCACAAAACTTTATATGGTAAAGGTACATACCACAATCACTTTCATCTGAACCATCCAAACAATCTTCTTCTCTGTCACATTTCCAGTTGCCAGGGATACAGCCCCCACCATTGCGGCATTGGAATTCATTTGAGTGGCAGCCCCCTGGTGGTCGTGTTGCTACAAGACAAGACATCAATTTCTTATCTTTTAAGAAATAGACAAATAACAGATTCCCCACAAAACTGTATTTTCAAATGTTAAATTCTACATTACTTTAATTATTTTAATATTATTGAAATAATATATTTCCTCATGGTGTGTTAAAATGCATGGCCAACAGAGGCAAGTTTGAAACCTGTGAAATAAACTTCAAGGCCATATATTATACCAACAATCTCAAGACAAGCATCAATGAATTATAAAATTAATATGATGTATTTCAAACTATTTATCTATACCCATGTTTATAAAAAGAAAAGAAATTATTGGCAATAGTGCTAAGTGTTTTGTTTTGAATCTAACAATTATAACTACTTTGACTGGGTTCCCACAGATTTAGATCGATCCATATGGATCGACCTAACTCCCTGGGGGTTCACACTGAATTACTGTCAGCTTCCAAGAGCCGAGCTCGCACAAAAGTTAATTACCCCCTTACAGCTTTTTATAGGCGGGACAGACATTTAAGACATTTAAGATTGCAAGGCTGACAGCAATCTAGTGAGACTCCCCAGGGGGATAGATCAATCTAAATATCTGTGTGAATGCAGTCTAAATCTATTCCTTTTGACTACTGTAAAGAACGTACGACAGTCCATTTCGTCTGTTCTGTCCTCGCAATCTGGGGCACCATCACAGCGATATATGATAGTGATGCACTCATGCTTATTCCGGCACTGGAACTCTGAAGAAGAGCAGTTTTTGATGGGGCAGTCCGCTTCGTCCCCCCTGTCCTGACAGTTGATGTAGCCATTGCAGACCCAGGAGAGTGGAATACAGGGCCCATTACTGCACTGGTATTCATCAGGGCCACACGTTTTGTCTCCTAAAAAACAAAAAAAAAAAAAAAAAAGTGTTACAGTCTGTAAAAATTACTTAATTAGCTAGTGGTCAGTCATTTTGAATTTTTCATATTATATGGCCTAAAAGATCAAAAGTAGCACATGTACTCTTTGAAATTAGTTTATCAGTAGTGTCTTTTTTAGTCATATCTGTTGCTAAATCACTGATAGTACAAGTTTGGACCAGGAAAACATTTAAATAATAATAATAATATGCTGCTTTCAAAAGATTCAGTACATAAGAACCCATCATAGCCTTACCACAACCAATCTCATCAGAACCATCCAGACAGTCATTGTCAGAGTCACACCTGTCGTTCATGGGAATACACAGATTATTGGAACACCTGAACTCAAAGCTGTCACAGGTCACATTAGGGCCTTGGTGTGAGAAAAAAATGTTAATAATGTGAATCCTTACTTTAAAATCCTAAAAAATTAGTGAGAGCTAAAAGTAAAATTACCTTAGTTTTTTTGTTTTACAAGCTTTGGCTGGTATATTTTACAAAACAATCTGACTTAAACAATTTGATTTCTTTAAGATAACATAAAAATACAGCACTTGGTTTCCAAAAGACATCATATATAGTTTTTAAGAGGCAGTCACCAAGGAAATACTCCATTCAGGTGATTTTGATCACACTTTTAATACTTTTCCTTATTTTCTATTTCACTTTTTCAAGTCATTCAAAATACAAATCAATAACTTTTAGTTCAATATTTGAATTTATTCAACCTGGGTGAAATTAATTATCTATGCTCACCTAAGTAGCATCCATGCACAACCTTAAACTTGAGGCTTTTTACACTAAAGGAATTTCAATATTCAAATGTGGTAAATAATATTTCTTCAAAATCCAAATATTTAGATTCTTACATCTATTACCTGTATTTTTAAGAGGTTGGATAAAAACTATCACAACACTGTTCTTATTACTTATTACTTACAGCCTAGTTCATCTGTCATGTCACCACAATCATTATCACCATCGCAGCGCCAGCGTGACATCACACATTTCCCGTTATTACACTGAAACTCACTGGATGAACAAGTTTTTGCTAGAAAGGCAAAGATGTCAATTAAGTACTCAATAGTTAATAAAAATGCAACAGAGAGAATTTGTCCTGTAATAAAC